AACACTCACTAATTACGATAGAAAACAATAGAAGCAGTAGGAGGATATTAGAACAAAAAGCAAAGGAAATGAGCAGTACCTGAGAGTGGTTGAGACCATCTCCACCGATTGATAACTTTCTCTCTTATTTAATTTATGATGATTTCCACCTTCTGTTTGTACTGGTAATTGTGAAATATGGTGAAAGGGGGAATTGAGATTGAATAGGGTTAGGGCTTTTATTTCTCCATGTACTTGCTTGATTCTGATTGTTTGCTTACTTGTTCCTTGTGTTTGGTCGATTTGAGGAGAAAGTGAGGTTGGTGTTAACTTTTCGTCCATTTTAAGGCTTTGGGGCTTTGCTTTTGTTTCACCCGATCCGCATTTAGGTGAATCTGTTTGTTTTATTTAAGCTCGGATTCAGTATCAGAGAGAAAATGGAAATTCCTTTTCTTGTTTTTCTCATTAAAGGACTTTAAACCATCGTTAAGCTTATCTTCCTAACATTTTTTAATGAAGAAGGTTTAATACAAAAGCTTATCTTAAAATGTGGGCATCTCTAAAATTATTTTGCAAAATTATTAACTGTTGTTGTCCTTCAAAGAATAACAATGTCTCTACAACGACAATTAGGTTTTTCTTGCATGTTGGAAGTTGTGTATACCTTCAAATCAGAACTTTTAGGTTTCGCTACGAATGAAGAATACCCAAAACTCATAGTGCTTTAGAACTCGCGATTTCACAAAGCAATGACGATGAAAATCAATCAAAGCTTAGCCCTAATTCGATTGAGGGTCCGTTACATAAATTTTTAGAAAATTCGAAGAAAAAAAAACATAAAAGGTGAAGAATGAATGCCAACTCAAATACCATGCGTATAAATATATATATGTGAAAATTAGACGAAAATAACTTATATAAGATTGTTTGAAGACTTAAGAATCAAATTGATGACCAAAATATACCCGAGATAAATATAAGGAATAAAAATACTATTTAAATAGTGAATGTTCATAACAAACATGTGCTAAGACAACGGTTGCTTGTCTAGTATAAACAATACAAAAAAATCTCTAACCAAATTTTATAACACATGCGCGCATACCTTATAGAATGTGTCTAGCTCAAATAGAGAATAAACAGTTTCGATTTCGGCCATTGTTGGCTACGGAAAGCCGTGTCTCGTTTCAAGTTCGACACTTCAAGACTGATAACAAGTCACAAATGGTTGCAACAAAACTGATAACATTCATGAAAACCTTTTCAACTTTTCAACAAGCAAAACAAATCCATGCACAAATCTTAACCAATGACCTTACCCGTCTTGAACCTCTCTTCATTCATCGTATTCTTCTCTGTGATATCACCAACTACAAAACCATATCACCCTACATCCTCTCAATTCTTCACCATCTTCGAAATCCAGATTCATTCTCATGGGGTTGTGTCATTCGATTCTTCTCTCAAAAGGGTCAGTTCATTGAAGCTGTTTCTTTGTATATTCAAATGAGGAAGATTGGGCTCTGTGCAAGCTCACATGCTGTATCCTCTGTTCTCAAGTCATGTGCTAAGTTTGAGGATGATTTGTGTGGTGTGTCGGTTCATGGGCAAGTTCAGAAATTTGGATTTAATACTTGTGTTTATGTACAAACGGCGCTTCTTGATTTGTACTCTAAAAATGGGGATGTTTTGACTGCGCGCAAGGTGTTTGATGAAATGGCTGAGAGAAATGTTGTTTCTTGGAATTCTCTGTTGGGTGGATATATAAAAGGTGGTAACTTGGATGAGGCTCGGTGTTTTTTTGATGAGATTCCTAGGAAAGATGTTATTTCTTGGAACTCTATGGTTTCTGGATATGCCAAAGGAGGAAAAATGGAGCAGGCTTGTTATTTGTTTCGACAAATGCCAGAGAGAAATCTTGTTTCCTGGAATTCGATGATTTCTGGTTACGTTGATTGTGGAAGCATTGGGTTGGCTAGAGAATTTTTTGATGCGATGCCAAAGAGAAACAATGTCTCTTTGATAACTATGATTGCTGGGTATTCGAAAAGTGGTGATGTTGATATTGCTCGTGAGCTCTTTGACCGGATGGATGATAAAGATTTGCTGTCGTATAATGCTATGATAGCTTGCTATGCTCAAAATAGCAAACCAAAAGAAGCACTTGACCTATTTAATGGCATGCTTAAAGCAGAAATCTCCTTACATCCGGACGAGATGACTTTGGGTAGTGTTATATCAGCTTGCTCACAATTGGGGAATCTAGATCACTGGCTCTGGATTGAGACACACATGAAAGACTATGGAATTGTATTGGATGATCATTTGGCCACTGCCTTAATTGACCTGTATGCAAAGTGTGGGAGCATTGACAAGGCATGTGAGCTATTCCATGGCCTGAGAAAGAGGGATGTCGTTTCATATTCTGCAATGATCTATGGATGTGGCATAAATGGAAAGGTGTCCGATGCGGTCGAGTTATTTGAAAAGATGGTTGGAGAGTGTATTGACCCTAATTTGGCCACGTACACAGGAATTCTAACTGCCTATAATCATGCTGGATTGGTTGAGGAAGGTTACCGGTGCTTTAACTCCATGAAGGACAATGGCCTTATTCCTTCGGTTGATCATTATGGAATCATGGTTGATCTTTTGGGGAGGGCTGGATGGCTGGATGAAGCGTATAAACTTATAATGAATATGCCAATGCAACCAAATGCTGGTGTCTGGGGAGCTCTACTTCTTGCCTGCAGATTGCATGGCAATGTGAAGCTTGGGGAAATAGCTGCTCAGCATTGCATTAAGCTGGAGAGTGAAACAGCTGGTTACTATTCTCTTCTTTCTGGTACATATGCTGCTGTTGGAAAATGGAATGATGCCAAAAAGTTGACAAACGTGGAAGGAAACAAAATTATCAAGATACCTGGATGTAGTTGGACACAACTTGAGTGATGCTTGTCACGCAAGTAATTTAACTCCGTGATTGGGAAAATAAAGCTCATATAATATTCCTATAACTAGGGCTCATATTATTCTGCTTCTAATATCTGCATGACATTTTTTTGCGGGATTGAAGTGTGAGGAAACCGGAAGGTTGTTTGGTTTGTGCTTTTAGAGTCATAATTGTTCAGTATGCTTGAGGGATCTGCAGCTCTTGGTTCTACAACCACTTCTTACCCTTTCACTCTCACTCTGGCATAAGTCAAACATTGTTTCGATGAAAAAGTACTCTTGTATTGCATCTAAGATTTCCATATTGATGCAGAAATGAAGCCAATCCAAGAAAGGACAAAGATGGTGATTTATAAATGTCAATGGAGCCTTTTTCACAAGAATGTTAGATTCCAAATTCTTTCGAATTATTAATCAAGATACTTTATGGATGTTACGCCTACAATTATCTTGGATGACAGGTACTCTACTTTGAATACCTCTAAAAAGTAGTATTATGCATGTGAGTCTAGTTGCTACTGAAAGTTTGTAGCAGAACCAACTCAGAAGCAGCTTTTACCATCACAGCAGTGGTGATGAGGGATGTTGACTCTGCTTAGTAACGTCTTTATCAGATGATGATTAAAGATTAAGGGTTGACAGTGAGGACGCAAACAAGTGGGGAGGTTAAAACACCTTTAAACTGCAGATACGGGAGCTTGGCAAAAGTTTCTCTACAAGTTTGTATATAGAGCAGCTTCGATGTCATTTGAATGATGAGGTGCAATTGGAACCCAAAACAAAAGTTCAGGTTTTATAGATGCGTGAAAAAGGATGAACTTGAAAACAAGAAGGCTGATTGATAAGGCAATTTTCAGTCATAGATTGTTCTTTCCAGGCCCCTGTGCATGTGTTGTACTTGTGAGCCCTTTCAAATGGCTTATTTGTAAGAAGAAATGATAATAAAAATGTTGTTCTAATGGTGGATTAATCGAGGGTAAAGTAGCTATGAATGTAACGAAATTATGTGATATTTCTAACTGTAGCAATAAACTTTTCTGGACGCCATAGATTCTTTCATTCATCTCTCACCAATTACATTTCTTTTTTGCTGGACTTCATTTGATATATTTATTTATATCTTTCTTATTACATGTTAACTAACCCTGCAGCCACCTTGAAAGAGTTGAATTTGTCCATACTTGAAATTGATATTCTACACCAGCCACCTTAACATGTATGTAGTTAGAAAAGATTTGAAGCAAAGGAATGAGTGTATTTTTTTAACAAACACAACAGAGCTGTCTTCAATTTGATTCAGTAAATTAATAGAGACCTTTATCACAGGATCCATTGCAACTATGTGTAACTTTTTTTTAATGCAGTTAACCACCATCTCCACATCAGTGTATCATTTATAGACTCAAACTATAGCAATGAGATTCTTTATTGTTTTACCAGAAATGGAGTGACAGTATAGTTGGATTGTTACCTATTTTTAAAAATTGGTACCAGAAATGGAGGATCTTTGCTCCAACAATAGAAGTGACAGTATAGTTAGATTGTTACCTATTTTTAAAAATTGGTACCAGTTATTACTATTTTTATGAAAAGGGTAATATTTCAGTATTCCTCTAAACACAAATTGGTTTGGGTTTTCTAATTTGGTTTTAAATGGTTGTGGCACCAGTTTTTACGCACACTGCTAAAGACAATCCAGCATCACAAACTATATAGATATACAACACAGATGCAAAAGGAAGCTTAAATTAAGTACTCTGTCACAAACTATTCACATTCCACAATGCTGATCAAATCAAACTACTCATATCAACAGTTCAGAATCCACACAAAAAATGTAGCACCCAAGCAACAACTTACAGCTCGGAAAAATGTGGTTCCAAATAAATGCAAAATCGATAATCGCTCATAGCATAATACCCTGAGTTTCCACTGAGCAAAATGCAAAAAATGCCTTTAAGATTTAGTCTACACAGCACAAAATGCCATGGAAAAGCATAGCACAGAAAGAATAATTAATAGGAAATGCAAGCATTTATGAATCCAATTAATTAAAATTCAAATATCCCTCAATTAAAATTCAAATATCCCTCAATTACAACACTTTGAGCTGATGCCATCGGGCGTAAATTTTCCACTTTTACTCCCTGGTCTAAGTTCTTGAATGGCAATAAAGGATCATTCTGATTACATCCATTCCAAATTGGCAAAATTTCTGTCACAAATTTATTGATATACTTCTTCTTAATACCCTCCTTAACAAGCTCTTCATGTTCACTGAAATTCCCTCTCATATCTAACAGAACACTGCACAATCCTTGACGATTACAATAATCCAATATCACATCCAGATTTATTTGATCCACAGATACAGTTTCAATTCCTTGTTGAGCCTCTTCAGTAGTTGTTGCTGTTCTACTATCTGTAAAGATTATCACTTTACTATCATTGATGACTAATGGCATTTGATTTGAAGAACCAGAACCTTTATGCAATATAATCCGAATAGGTTGATTGACTCCAGGTTCTTGAGATAAAGGTACTGAGTCTACTGACAAACTTTTGCCGAATAAGGAAGAAGATAGTATAACTGCGTCATATTCTTGTAATAGCTTAGAATAGTATCCACCAGAGTCAGTTACTCCATTCCCAAGTGCATCCGACAAGTTTCCGTTGACAGAAAGAGAATACCTGTAATGCAGGTAAAGGCTAAGCTATGAAACACATGTTTCTCGAGTTATTCTAGCTACTTAATGATATATGTATATTATCCATTATAATTAATTAACATATTTTCATACATTATTCTTCTTGACAAACTAATATCATTCTAACAATTGTTGTCTACCAAATTTCTAGACTTCGATTTTGCCCAGTATTTGTCATTACTTTTCATTTTTTTTGTTATTATATTTTGATTTCTACGTGCAGCACACTAACAGTTTTTCACACCAGATTTCAGTATTCTCCATTTTCTAACCATCCCACTCTCATTTTTTATCATCCAACAGCAAAATCATGGATTGGACCTGCAATGACAGTGGCAGTATCTGTTAAGGAGGTGCAAGGGTTCTCACTATCTTATTATGTGTTTCAACGACAACTTGAACCACCCAAAGTTCAACCGCCATCAATGGTATTCAGCTTGCATTAAAATTTTGATAACTCATTTTTCATCAAAACCTTTGAATTGCTACTATTTCACATTAGCATTTTTCAATGTTAATGTTAGCTTTGTAATTTTTTAACAAAAGTGTCATTAATTTTTTTTTTTTTAATGTCAGAGTACATTCAAAATCAGTAAGTCGGCAATGAGTATGAGGACTGACAACACTGTCATTATGTCTTTTTCTATCATATATACATAACTTTTGCTACGTTGTTTCCTCTCACCTAACAATATTGTTGCGCTTTCGGTTACAATAGATTTCTCTCTATATAATTTATTGGAAATTTCTAAATGACAAAAAATAAACAACTTATTAGCTTTGTAATTTTTTTTTTAATTTTTTAACAAAAGTGTCATTAATTTTTTTTTAATGTCACAGAATACATTCAAAATCAGTAAGTCGGCAATGAGTATGAGGACTGACAACACTGTCATTATGTCTTTTTCTATCATATATACATAACTTTTGCTACGTTTTTTTCTCTCACCTAACAATATTGTTGCGCTTTCGGTTACAATAGATTTCTCTCTATATAATTTATTGGAAATTTCTAAATGACAAAAAATAAACAACTTATTAGCATCTGGTACGTCTGAACCATCCACAAGAGGATGACTACCAACCAATTGACATAGAAAACGTTATAATCGGTATGAATTTTAGTTTATTTTTCTTTAAAACATTTGTTTTTCAAAATTATGTGCAGGTTCATTGCCCACATCCGACAAAGTTTGGTCCGTCCCTGATTATATTTTTGAATACGATTATACCTTAGCACACAATGTTGCCTGCAAGTTGTCCAAAAAGTTATTTTAGAATCAAGGATTGTTATGGTCTATGTTATCATCATAGTAGTTAAAAACTTCACATTATAGTCCAATAACTAAGATATATTTATGGAAATACTGTATTCTTTTGGGCAATTATTCTGAGTTTTGTAGACTATGTAAGCTTCTGTCCTAATCTTTTGCACACTTAGTGCCTAGATTTGTGTCTTTTAACTCATTTTTCCTTTTCAAAAAAGTTTTTATTTTGATTTGTTAACTTGAGTTAGTTGACAGTTAATAGATTTTAACTTTCTCTGGTTGTGTAAAATATCTTATGAGTATGGCTCATAGTCACAGAAGAGGATCAACGAGGGCAGGGGAGCCGAGCTAATAGATTGTAACACTGAAACCCTAATTCATTCAAAAAAATAATACGGAACTATGGTTACTTTGTACTAGCAGATGTAGGCACACTTGGTGAACTGCGTAAACTAATATCATGTTCTTGGTTTGTGATTTACGTTTCAATTTCTCTTTTGTTACTAGTTGTTCTAACAATATCTAATGTGAATAGAGTTTAATTTTGATAATGAATTTCCGAATTTTCTTTTACTCTTCCTCTATATTTCCACATTCAGTTCTAAACATTTCACTAACATTGAACTTACTGCATATTTATGACAATACCAGAAACAGCCCCAAATGAATCTTCAGATAAAAGCAAGTTCGAGTATATGCTTAAAAATAGAGGTGAAATTGAATTACCTCAAAGTAAGGAGAGGCTTTCCGGCCAACATGCGATGAATATAACCCTCATTGAGGCCCTTACACAATTCTTCCTCAACACCAACAACAACTTCAATTCCAGCATTTCTCAATCTATCCACCCCTTTGGAAGCCACAATAGGATTCGGATCCACCATCCCAACAACAACCTTTTTAACTCTAGCTTTAATAAGAGCTTCAGTACAAGGCGGAGTCCTCCCAAAATGATTACAAGGTTCTAGACTGACATACGCCGTTGCATTCTCAGCCAAATCACCAGCATCTCTCAAAGCAAAAACCTGAAAAATCTCATATCTTCCTTATTCAGCCAAAAAAAAAAACACAAATACAAGCCTTAGCATGATTTGAATTCAAAGAGAGTGAAACAAACCTCAGCATGAGGTTGACCAGGTTTAGGATGAAAACCTTGCCCAACAATTTGACCGTCTTTTACAATAACACATCCAACTAACGGATTAGGGCTTGTATACCCCAAACCCTTTCTAGCAAGCTCAACGCTTTTCCTCATGTAAAATTCATCGTTATCATCATTATCATCACGATTCTTTTGGGATCGAATGACATAGCTATTCTTCCGACGAGTAATTCTGTCACTGTATGTAAGTGATTTGGAAAACCCATAAGTGAAATTGAGGTGAATGGGTGGATGAGGAGATGCATTGGTTGAAAATCTGGAATTGTAATATGGAAATGAAACTGATAACCCTACTGCTTGCATAGTTGAAGGACACAATTGTAATTAATTTGATTGAATTGGGTATAGTACTGGTTGTTCTAATCTAGATTAGGTTACTACTATCAATTGATGTAATTGAATCATCGAAAATTGAAGTAACAAAAAGCTCAAGATAAAAAAAAAAAAAAAAAAAGCTTTTAAGAATGATGCGAAAATATGAGTGTAATTACCAATAAGAAATGTGATATGGGTTCGGAAAATGGATGAAGAAAGTCCTCTGCGGAAGAGTAATGGAAAAGACAGAGGTTTGAGAGGAACAGAACAGCATCAGCAACGTGACCGCCGCCAATTTGTTGTTTCGTTTTCAGCATGAAATAACAATAACACTTGCTTTGATTTGGAGTGCGGTTTGTTTGTTGGAAGTCATTGACTTTCAGCGGTTCGGTCTAGCTATTGGATGGATCGGACGCGGGCAGTGACATCATAAAACGGGTTGAACCGGTGCTAAATGAACTCGAGAGGATGGTTGTGGATAGAAATGGTGAGATTAGTAACATTTCAGTCTTCAGAATATCCCATAAAAAAATATTGTCGTATGTATTGCTTGTGTTAAACAAATGGGTGACATCGGAGTTCAAAATTCGAACACATATTATATTGTCGGTATGTTTTGCTTGTGTTAAACAAATGGGTGAAATCGGAGTTCAAATTTTGAACATATATTTTGGACAAAATTTTACGCATAACTTGAGTTTTTTATTCAAAACAATGGAGTGGATAAGAATTTCAAAATCTAGATAAACATCTGGTTGACCTCCAGACGATAACTAAGAATTTTTTTTATATAATTTAAAAATCATATATTATTCACACAATAAACCATACACATAAGTTAAGTCGACTTCTTTATACTCGGTCTTTGTAGATTGAAAATGTGATCCTCTTCTATTTGAGATTTCACAATCATATCATCGACGTACACCTCGATCTCTTTATGAATCATATCAGGAAAGAGAGTTATCATCACGCATTGATATGTTTCCCCCAACATTTTTCAATCCAAAAGGCATCACCTTGTAGCAGAAGGTCCCCCAAGGGGTGATAAATGTGGTCTTCTCCATGTCTTCCAGGGTCATCTTGATCTGGCTATACCCGGATAAACCATCCATGAAGGAAAACACCGAGAACTTGTAAGAACAAGAGTGGTTCTGCATCTGGCCTTAAGTTTTGATGATAACTGCACATGTTATCTTAGAGAACAATTAAGTACTTTATGGTTTCTGTCTAGTGTGTAGTTGTTGCTAAACTTGATCTGAATCTGATAGAAAGGCGTGTGACGTCATCATACTCTGATCTAAACGCTCTGGAAAGAAAACATATGTTGTGTACTGTCATACCCTAAATTTGTCCTACTTGTATATTACCTCCATCTGTACATCTGTTCACTAATTGTTATTCAAAAAATAAATAAAAAATATATGTCGTTACTTTCATCTAAGTCCAAATTTCAGTTGAAGATTTCTGGTTAGGTCATTTGTATCATGGCGTGTTCTGAGTGCAATGATGTGAACTAAAATCAAGTTGTCAGTGCTTCATAGATAAATATCATCAAGGTGCAATCCCTTTCAACTAGGGTTTTTGTGCAGTCGTAATGCAGTGTTGTGTTGCTTATTTGGTTCAGGACCTGGTTTATCAGTGCAAGTGGAAAAGTTCAGAAATGGTTTGTGATTGGTTCATGTTTGACTTGTTATTCAAAAATTGATTCAAGATGCTAGATGTTTAAAGTGGTTTCAAGAGAAGTTTTGGATATGGCATGTTCATTCAAGAATGTCATCATTTTATTCAAGTACAAAGATTTGTGAAATCAAGCATGGCGCAAATAGAAAAGTGGAGGTGCTAATATCATTCCATAGTCTAAAGCCCAATGCATTTACACAATTCCAGCTTTACCAAGTTTCCATTATTTTAAAAAAATGAATTCTACACAAATATCTTGTTCATGAACCGCTAACACCTACAAAATCCACCATTTTCAGTGGACACTTAGTTTGATTCCGTTTATTAAAGCATTGCAACTCATGTTATCTTTCCTCTTCTGGTATTCGTGCTTCAATTTTCAAGAATGCTCTTTGTAGATGTCGTTTGGTGTATATGTAAATGGTGTGCTCTCCCAGATTATTGCATTTGTCTCCTTTTCGCTTATTTCTCATGGTTATTGTATCATGTCTGAGCACCTTTCTTTAAATGAACGCCGTTCAACTGCCGCACTTGCATGTATCCTTTAATTGACTCTAGTTGGTTACAAGGCTTCTGTTCCATACTTCACAGTGCTTCTACTTCTAAATCATTTTATTTCATTCTATTTTATATTCCACCATATATCCCAAAACCTACTAGTGCTGCGAGAACAGTTGAGCATTATTGAAAATAAGGATGTTCGAGCAATGTGTGATGTTGTGTATAAAAAGTACATAATGTTCAAGAAGTTCCAAGTTGCAAGTTTAAAATGAAGGGTTTAAGATCAAGAATTAGGAAGGTAATTGATATCCAATAATAATACAATTGTTACCGAGTCCCAAGAGTGCAAGGAATGCATTTTGTTCTATTATTTAAGCTCAGAATTACAAAAAAAAAGGGTGCAAGTTTTGCTACGAAACAAATACTAACATTCAAAGGAATTTCAATGCCTAATTCTACAAATTATTGCTAAGCATAAGACAAGAAAAACTAAAGATCAAATTTCATGGTTTTGTTTCAAATACAAGTAGCCGTAGACCTTTCATTTCCATTCTTCATGATGAATGATCCAAGTTCCTACTTCAAGCTTCGAGGCAGCCATGACTCTTCTCCTTCACCCCAAGCCTTCATTATTCAAATCTTCACCAATTCAAATTGCTCAAATCAATACACATGAAATCAAAATGAAGCAACGATTAGGACAAACACATAAATCACTCATTCTTGCACAAGATTCCAAACTCAAATGTCATAAAAAGACTCATAAATCTAAGCCAAATTCAGTCATGTATGCATAACACGAACATTTTGTTCCAAATCATACTTGATGCTCATGAGTTTCATCAAGGTCTTCATCAAGACCACGACTGCTCCACGACTTATGCCTCACCCAAGCTTCTTCGTCCATCCATGAAAAGAGATAATGTCAGTCCATGATTCCTCGTCCTTGCACCATACTCATAGGATACACATGGAAAGGAATGATAAAATTTGGTTAGAAAACTAATGATAGCATGCAAAAAGAACCATTTGCAGTAGGCATGAAGCTCATGTGTGAAACAATATGTTCAAATGGTCCAAACTATTAGCTCTTATTTTCGATGCCAGCAAAAAATCATAACTATATCAAGTCAGAATGTTATAATGTTAAAACATAAGAATGCTTCGACATAGCTTTGATGAAGCCTGAGTTGAAGAGAGGTAGGGAAAATTTCTAGAAAAATGTTAAGTGTTGGAAAAGCCTTCGACCAAGATCCTACTGGAAGAAACGCGTGGCAGTTACCATTAAGGCTGGAGGGATTCTTAATATTTAAGTTTCAAATTGGTAGTGGGCGAACGTGGGAACAGTTGAAGTGGGGAAAAAAGCGCCAAAAGGACACGTTGAGAAGCAATAAACGTCATTTAGGAGTTATTTGCTAGCATTATAAATAGGAGTTATTTTTATAGAATAAGGGTGTTCATTTGTCTTGTACAAGTTACTCCAAATCACTCAAAGTACACACATGTAGAGAAACGAGTTAGTGAGAATGTACGTGATGTAACGCCATCCTCTTTTACTAATGCAATTTACATATCTTTGCCATTTGCATGTTATCTTTTAACCTTCATCTTTTATGTTTGAATGCATTTATTTTCATGTCCTGAAGCTTTATATTCTCATTTACACTTATGTCATTTAACTTTCTGCACTTTACCTTCATCTGCAATTTAACCTTCTGCATTTTCCTTTAAACTTGTTATTTTCAAAGTCTTTTAATTGCTTTCAACATTTACTTTCCTGCACATTTACCTTATTGTCTTTAATTTCAAAGTCATTTACATTACTGATTTTAAATTCAAAGTCATTTACATTGTTGCCTTTACTTTCAAAGTCTTTTACGTTCTTGCCTTTATTTTCAAAGTCTTTTACAGCCTTGCCTTTAACTTTAGATGCATTAAGAAGTACGTTCTTTATTTCATAGCCTTGTTAATTTCCAAGTTATTTCCACTTTACAAGTATTTCATAGTCGAACGTGGAGTTCAAATTAGATTTTCTTTTAAGCTTAGCACATGTCCTAAGATTTAGTATGGTCGATCCTGCAAGTTACTCAATTTTACCCAGAATTGATAGACCAGTGGTTGTTTACCAAATTTCACAGTAAACAAATTGGCACACCTGGTGGAACCCAGTGCTAAAGTATCCCAAAGTTTACATTAAACATATTCATCTTTTGGCGCAATACTTCGTTGTATGTTATTGACGAGTGGGAAGTTAGCCACAACACACGAAGGAAGACCAAAATGGAAATATACTAAGAGAATGGCAACAAATGCTAGTCAACAAGTTGATCCTCAAGGAAATGTTTCAAACACTCAGTCAAGCAGCATGGAGTCGCAAAGTGTACCGTCTCTAGTGTCTTCGACGGGAAGACAGACGCCACCGCCAGCAGTTGCGTCTGAACCTATGTCGTCTATGGCAAGCGCAGGGTCAACATGTGTAAGAACGTACACCCAATCGGTGTTGGAATATATAGGACCACAAATTCCTAATTCACCAACACCCCTAGGAGGAAGTTCACTGCATAGGCATTTTCCTCCTCCAGGTTTCTCACAACCATTACCAAGGAGTTTACCTTATGGTATGCCTACGTCAATTATGCAAAATCTACAGAGCGCTCCATCTATATTTTCAGAAAACATGGTATCTTCGCTAGTGCAAGGATCTGGATCAGGTGGTCGAAACCACCAAAACATAGGTGTTGGTTACTCTGTGCAAGCACCCAGTCTTACAAATACTTCCATAAACTGTTTGAGACAACAAATGG